TGGCATGTTACTCCATATGTGGATACCTATTACATGTGGAGATATAAATCAGGTCATTTGCTGACCTAACTTACATACCTATGTGCTTGATGGGGAAAAATAAATGGGACACAACCAGGCAAAGAGAAGGATCATTTGTGGAGGCAGACTCCTTTCATTTGGCTTAACAAGAATGCTTGGCCGGGCGTGGTGGCTCACGCCTGTAATCCTAGCTCTCTGGGAGGCCGAGGCGGGAGGGTTGTTTGAGCTCAGGAGTTAGAAACCAGCCTGAGCAGGAGCGAGACCCCGTCTCTACTAAAATTAGAAAGAAATTAATTGGACAACTAAAAATATATAGAAAAAATTAGCCGGGCATGGTGGTGCATGCCTGTAGTCCCAGCTACTCGGGAGGCTGAGGCAGGAGGATCGCTTGAGCCCAGGAGTTTGAGGTTGTTGTGAGCTAGGATGACGCCACGGCACTCTAGCCCGGGCAACACAATGAGACTTTGTCTCAAAAAAAAAAAAGAATGCTTAATCTCCTGTGGTCCAATGGATGCTTAAAATGTAGCAAGACTTGAACCACCTTGCTGGAATCTCTCCTAAGAGGACTTTAGGCAAGGGAAGGGGACCTTAGTAGCAAATAGCTGTGAAGTGTTCCATGGAAGTAAAAGCTTAGTGGGCATTGAGAGAGGTCATTTTGAAAATAAATGGACAGTGAACAGGGCCCTTGCAGGCCCCCTGAAAAACATAGCAGGCACCGCATGAGAGCAGCAGCATTTGGACGCCTGCCATACAGTAAGTAGTGACATCCAAAAGAGGATTCTAGTGGCACAGGTTAAAGGGAGAAGATTTTAACTTCCTCTACCTCAGTCCTCTTCCCCTACCTATACCCTGGGGAAACTGGAGTGAAAGAGCTAATATACCATCTCTGCAGCCAAGTCCTACATCAAACATCTGGCTTTAAGGTAGAAAGGAAAACAGACAGTAAGTTGGATTTGAGATTACAGTTTTCAATTGGATTAAATTGGATTGGACTGAATTGGAAAATTAATGCTTGAAATAGTCCAAAAGAAATGGGATCTGTCTGAAGTATGATAAAGGACAGAAAAATAATATTCACAGAACGTATCTGAAGTCAGTGGCTAAACAACAGAACTAGTCTTGTACTTCCTTAGAGTTAAGGCTTTTCAGTAAACAGTATGTTACCAAGATACGGAGTCTGAGTTGGATGAGAAAGGAAGTGAAGATGAGGAGAAGCTGATGGATGGACAGAACAAAGAATCAGTACATTGAGTGTCATGATGAAGCTGAAGAACAGTTGCATTGAGGGTATTAGCGCAGATGAGCTAGAAGTCCCAGAAGAGCGCAGTGTCTGTTATTAGTAATTTCAAAGTACTATCAGTTTGTAATGAATTCAAGTCCAAATTAAGACCTTGGAGAGACAGAGTAGCTGAGGTTGAGTAAAAGAAAAGTTTGGAACATAAGAAGGTCATATAATTAAGGTTGTTGGATTTGTCATCCAATATAAATGCTAAAATCTCCCCAGAAGATGGCAGATACTAAGGTGGAGGAAAGCACTGAGGGCCACGTACAAAAGCCTCAACAAAATGGTATGCAGTGACCACTAAGTAAATAGGTTATAGTGATGGGGAGTTAAGTATGAGCCTCCAGCAATAAAGGCTTTTTGTAGGAGAAGGAAGAATTATTAGTCTGGAAACAGTGCTGAGGAGTGAGGAGGATGTGTTCCCACCTATCAAGTCTGGGAGGCTTAAACAGTCTCTGCAGTGTTTTCAGGGTCAAGCCAGGACGTGCTGAGATTGTTTACTGAAGAGGCTCAGGATTTGGGGGAGTTTGTTAATAATGGAATGGGAATTCCAGATGCTCCAGTGGAACAGTTGGTGAGAGAGGAGGAATAGGGAATTGGCAGGCAGAGTCAAGATTTGCAGTGAAATCAGTATGCCACTTGAAGAATATTGAGTGGGGGACATGACATGATCAGGTTTACATTTTTCACAAATTACTCTGGAAGCTGTGTGGAAGATTTTTTTTTTTTTCAGGGGATTCAAGGCTACAAGAACGGAGACCATTTAAGGCACTGTTAATTATAGTTATGACAAGAAATCCCAAGTGTCTGAAATTGAGTAGTAACGAGATTATTAAGATATATGTAGGCTAGACTTGATGGATTGGATGTGAGACATGAAGGAAGAGTTTACAATGACTCTCAGATTTCTAGACTAACTTGGTGGCTGTTGGGGACAATGGAGGAAAATCATATTTATGGAGAGGTATGTTCAGATCTGGACATCGTATCAAAGACTAAAGCCTTGAGCTGACCTTCAGTAGTCATTTACCTTCTTATATAGTAATAGAGTAGCTGATTTCAGTGGGGCACAGGGCCACTGGAATAAAGATCACATTTCCCACTTCCCTTATAGCTAGATATAGCCATATGACTAAGTTTTGGGCTAATTGTATATAATATAAATTGTGTTTGCAACTTCTGGGAAGTATTCTTAAAAGAAGGGGACTTTTCTTCACCACTTTCTCCTTCCTGCTGGGGAACATGGACATAATACTAAACACATTGGATCATAAGCTTAATTTCACCATGGAAACCACAAAAAGCAGAGCAGCAAGGTAGAAAGAGCCTGGGTTCTTGACTTCTCAAACATGAGAAATAAAGAAATTTCTACTTCTTTAAGCCACTGTTATTTTGTAGCTTTCTATTACTCACAGTTGAACCTAAGCCTAATAAATGCCAGATGTGTTAAGTTTGAGGTGTCTATGGAACTTCAAGGAGGGATATACAGTACAGTTGGATATACCAATATGGAACTTGGCAAAGAGATCAGGGTTGGAGACAGGGAACACAAGCCAGTCCCTAAAAGCAAGCCCATGTGATTTTTTCCCCAATAGCCTTCAGCAGCATAATCTAAGAGTGAAAAAGTTCATAAATGTTTGCTTAGATATTCATATCTAAATCCATTTTCTAAGCACAAATATAAATAACTTAAGGATCAATATTTCTTTGAATTTAAAAGATTGCCTTTGAAAATAAAAGAGTTACCACAGCAATTCTTCATATAATTGGCTAGTTTTTATAAAGTGAACCACATTAGGACAATATAATCAAAATCGCTTTCATTGTGGAGAAATTACGTCTAAAAGTAAATGATAAAGACTTCTATGTACCAAATGCAGTGCACTAGATATAGCGAATAATAAATATTTAGGAACAATTATATTGACCTTATTCGTTCAAAAAATAAAATGTAAATTTCAGCAACTACACAGTCAGCATAATTCTTCATAGACCCAAAAATAATGCTCACGTATTTGAGAAAATATACTTACAACATTCTGCTAAATTTACTAAATTGTTAATTTCATTGTACAAAATATTCTATGAAAATACTCAGAAATTAGGATCGACATAAATGTTATTTGTAAATTTTGAAAACTTTCCCACTGTAGACTTCATTATAAGTTACAACCTTTTCCCACATTTATTTCAGGCTATTTTCATTAAAAATAAGAGCCCTAGCTCCAAATATAAATTACATATAATGAATTGCTTATAATGCTTCCAAATTGACAGAGCTAGAAAGAATGTTTCCAGTTGTTCTGTATTCCCCTCAAAAAAATATTTAAGTAAATAAACCAGCACCTATGTGTTTGATTTTCTACAATTTTACCATGAGTTGTAAAAGCCAGACTATCTGGCCTCCTCGCCCCCATAGTTTAGTCAGTATGTGCTCAATCAAGGATTACAAAAATAATTTTAACATAAAAATCAGCAAACATAATGAAGTAAATATACTATGAAAATAAAAATCACATCAGGTATCTCAGCTGGTTATTAATGTTGGGATTATCCCCTAGTTGGGATTGCCCTGGCCCCCAGTCCTCTCCTAGCACAGACTAGGAGGCAGTGAATCAAAGCATTGACAAGATCAAGACTCAAAGCCACGTCTAGCCAATGAGAGAAGGTGCAATTTCTTTGTGCCTCAAATCCATGTGGCCCTGGGACCCCACTGGGTCAGGGACATGAAGACCTATCCATCTTTAGGCTCCTGATACACAGGATCTTCATCAAAGAGTATCAAAAACCAATTGCATCAGAAGCTAATCAAATTAAATTGATAGAACTTTGAGGTCTGAAAGCTCCTGCCCAGAGAGTAAGCGGGATGGGATGGGGACAATCTGGTGATAAACTAGGCTGAGAACCACACAATCTAGAGTCCTAATCTTGTTCTGATGCCAATTAGCACAGTCTGTTTCTTCTTACATAAAGCAAGAGTTGGACTAGGAAGGTCACAGTGGTCTTTTCCATCTTCAAAAGTGTGCACATTGGGAATTACAAGTGAATGCGATGAGTTTAGCGATTGGCTTGAAGCCTCCTAAATGCAATGCATTCATGTATCATCTATTCCTTTTAATCTTGTTCTCCAGAAAGTATTCAGATTATTATTAATTCAAATGTTTTGCTTTGTGGAAAACTTTCTGTCACTACCCCTCTCTCTTCAATTGATGTTGGTTCTTTTAAACCAACATTTACATGGTTTTTCTCTGATATTTAGAACGGTTTTATTGCATTCGTAAGTGGAGAAGGAAGGTATCACTAAATGTAAAAATTTCCATTAAAGAATTTTCCCTTTTGCAATTAAACACATTAGTGGGTAAAGTATGGTATAAGAAAGTGATTAAATGCATAGGAAATCATGTGGGTTGTTAGAGATTATTTGGTTGTTTGGGGTCTCCTAGGATACTTAGTTGTTTTTCCACCAACCCATACATCCTCTATATTCCTAATAAAGCATTTGGAATCTGCTGGGCTTTTTAAGGCTCTCGCCACTCTCTTTCTATGACTTCACCGTATCATTAAAAATCTAAAGTTATTTAGCATAATTTAACAGTATTAGCAAGATTCGTAACCGTATCCAAGGATATGAACTTGTTTGTTGTAACAACCGCCTGAGTAGTCCAAAAGGCCCTTCAAAGAAAAAAAGCATACAATGTCAAATTTTCAGTAGTTTTATTGAAAAATGCCTCTTTTGTTTCAGAAATAAATAATATAAGGCAGTGAAATTCACAATCTGCAGTTAAAATATAAAAGCAGCAATTCTATGTTCATAGTCTTGCAAACATTTTCCAACTGCTTCTGATAACTAAGAAACATTATGTTCTGAAAAAAAAGTTCATACTAAATATACAACACAAACATGCAATTCCATCTCTGCAGAATAATCTGCAATTTGGCATAAATGTTAGTTTGTCTACAACAAAGAGGTTTAAAGCAATATGGAACTGTATCCAGTCGATGCACTAACTTAAGCTACATGGCTTAAGGTTTGTGGTTGTTAAAGATGTGTAAGAGCATCCTATGCACTAATGTATAAGAGATAGAAAAGGAAGATAAATAATTGCAATGGAGTTGACGGTTCCCTCCTTTCTGGTTTCAAGAAGGGAATTACTTGAATCGTGGTGTAACTGAATCGCAAATAAGTATAAGAAAAGATAAACTGCTCTCTCGAAATTACAGTAGCTCTGGGTTCCAGGACTTACTGCCTAATAGTTTCACTGAGGCCGCCCACTGTGCTAACTAAAGGCACGTGGCGTGTTTTCTCCTTGCAGCTTTTATGAACAAAGTATTTTGCAAGCATTTCAAGGGCAAAGGCAAAAATGTCTACAGACTGCATGCTGCGAGCTAGGCTTCCTGCAGAAACAAGGTTCTCTACAGTCAGAAAGGGTACTCTTGGATGAAGCAACGCCGGAAGAAACATCACAGAAAAGACGTACATTGCGCTATGTGACCTGTAAATGAGAATTCCAACACCTCCCCCCAGCCTTGCGGCGCGGCGCCTGGTCTCAGGTTCACTGCCCCGGGCCGCGGGGCAGGGCGCGCCGCCAACGCACGTGGGGAGGAGGCTCCGCTGCAGGCTCGTCCGCGCCGTAGTCCTCGTACTCCGCCGTCCGCTCGGGCTCCACCGGCACGATGAAGGGCTCGCGCTCAGGCAGGTAGCCCCCGCCCTCGGGCACGTACGGCTCTGTCCGATTCAACATTACAGTTATGGCATGATTTGGAAGGCACACACACAGCAAAAGCTAAATCATCACCCGAGGTGATGGCACTCCAGTCTTAATCTCCTAGCTATAAATAGATAAGTCAATGTCCTGATTGCTTCTATTTGCAGAGAAAATTTGGTAATAATCAAATAATGAAATGGCACTTTCTTAAAAAAAAAATAAAAACCTTCAAAGATCCAGCAGTAAATACAATCATTGCACAAATACCTGGGAGGGGTCCGGGACTGGGCCAAAGAACTGTAAACACAGTACCTAGGTAGGATTTTCACAAATCCCCAGGTAACTGTTCATGACTTCAAACTCCTCAATTCAAAGAACAACTTGGAAAGCTGAGGAGGTGAGGGGAAGTTTTATTGGCTCCTAGAAACTGAACTCTGGAGGTGAAAAGCAACTATCACCAGGTAATATACAGTACATGACATTTTCTGTGGCTGTCCCTCACACAGACTGAGTTATAGCTGCTGAGTGAGGAACACCAGTGACTACAGCAAAACAGGAAGAAAAGGTGATTTTAAACTTTGGCTTGAAAATTGCAGTTACAAAACTCAAATGAGAGTACACGTACAAAAAAATAATAATAATAAAAAGACACATGCCCTGAATCAGACACATCGCTAACAAGCAAGAGATGAGGAGATTCCATTCAGTGTTATTCCGGCATAGAGCAAGCAGCAGGCTTTGATGCAGAAGCTTATTGTAGGAATGTTAAGTAATTTTAGTGGACAGGATCACATACAAATCATTTACAAGCCACAATTAGTTTATTATTTACATAAGACATTTCTCTTTAACCAGGTTAATTGTTTTTCTTAAATGGCATGATCTCCGCTGGTTAGTAGTTTTATTGTGCACCTCTTTCACAACCGAGGCTCCCCATGGCTTTGTCTTTCAACTTTTTTTAAAAAAAAATGTTTTTCTACATTATTACTGAAATGCATCAGGCTTATAAACTGACACCACTGCTTTTTTTTCATTCAAGTTAGTATAAAGAGTCTCCACCCTCCTTTGTGATGTCGACCCGGTTCGTTAACCATATCTGTGGTGAGATTTCCATACAGACTCATTTTCTAATAAGCACGTGCGCAAACATCTCAGAAACAGGATTTTCATGTATTCAAACTGTAAGCAGCACTGGCGACTTAGAAAATTTGTTAGCCGGAACCTGAAACAGGTCAAAGATGATAGTTTTTAAAAGTTGAATTACTATGTAAAAAAAATATATACACATCCATCTACGTATGTAATGGTTAAAGTATATATACATATATATCCATATATTTTCAGTTATTCACAAGTGCCATAAGGCAGTGGCAATTTAAATTTATTTTATAAAGAATTAAATTGTAATTTTGTAAATGGGTTGCATGAGAAATACACATTAAGATTTGCTATTACTTTTGGTCATATGTAATTATGTACATAAATATATAGATATATATATATTTAGATATTCAACTACTCATGCACTATTTGCAAGTAGCAAACCATATCAAACAGCAGTATCATTTTTAAAACTTGCAAGATGCTTGAGGGTGCACTAATGAAATGGTCACCATTGACTACAGCATGGCTCTTTTATTTCCGGTTCAGCATATCCCCCAGTACTCACATCCCACAAAATCAGGCATAGGAGACATCTGCCTTCTATAATTGTCAAACACTGGAATTTCATTAACAACTCTTTAAAAAAAAAATGATTAAGTCCCAGATTTTATAAGTGTTAATTCCATGGCCTATGTGGGACAGTTAATTATGTTCAGTGGTCTGTACCATGTTATCAAATAGTTTACCCACAAATTAGATTCCCAGAACAATTTTTTTAATATATGTTCTTGGCATTCTACAACTGTATTCAACAAATCCCTGTTCTCAACCTTTAGGTTAAGAAAGAAAAGAAAAGGAGAGGAGAGGAGAGAAGAGGAGAGGAGAGGAGAGGGGAGGGGAGGGGAGGGAAAAGGGAAAAGGGAGGGAAGGAAAGGGAAAAGTCAGTTGAATTGGTAGCATTCTTTGAAACCCCCAAAAGAAGAGGTTTATGATGTGATTTGGTAAATGCAGAAATATGGATAAAAAAAGAAAATAATTAAATCTTAGTGAAATAATGTTTTATGCTTTGGGAGAGAATCAAAACAGAATGGAAAGAGTTGATATCTTCAAGAAATCCTCAAATCACCCTTCTTCAATCCTAGGGAACTTCATTTCCACAAAGTTCTTTACTTCAGGTGAATTTGGGTTCCTACAATGGCAACAACATACCTGGATAGCCTTGCCCGTTGTATGGGATGCTGGCACACTGGGACGAATCACAGTATCCAGGAGGACCTGGGGGTCCTCGGATACCTGAGTTTCCGGGACGACCAGGAGGACCGGGGGGACCTCTTGAACCTGTAGACCCTGGTGGACCTGTTCTGGATTCTCCTTGTGGACCTAGTGTGGAGTTAAAACAAATACATTTCCCCTCTTGTTAAATACACCTCCTGAGGCAGTCAGTGATATGTTTAGTGACATCTCCACTGCCTCGAGACCAGACTATTCACTAGTGCATAGTAAGAAACTATTTCCTTAAGAAATACCCAATATGAACCAAGGTGTGGTGGAACTTTCTTGCCAGTGACTCATCAGAATTAACGCCAGAAATCCACTCTTTTATTTTGTTCAAGGGAAACCGATTTAGCAAGAATTAGGCCAAATTAAAGATGTCAATGAGTTTTCTGGTTGGCTCCCACTCTCAGAGATAAAAGCACCCGAAGGCAGCCACACTGGGTTGCTGTGAAAACATGGCAGCGTCTACTCCACACCTCCAGACTAAGTGAAGCAATGTTATTTCTGGACAAGTGATACTTTGTTATGGTTAACATAAATGTGAAGATTTAGTCATAGCGCTGACCTTGGTTACAAGGGTCTTACAGACCTTATGATGAAAAAGCAAAAATTGATTTACAACCTAGTACATTAAATGCATAAAACAACTCGACCATTATTATTTCTTTCCAAAATATTAGGAAAGAAGCAGTGAATGAAATTTTGTTATGTGTCAGGTGTCTAAATGAGAATGTATTTTCTCACAATCTAATAGCTCCATATTGAAGACTTACTAGAACAAACAGGAAATGTAGCCATCCTTAAAGCCTATAAGGCCAAAAAAAACCAAATAGGAATTCTCCAAAAAAAAAAAAACCTCTATGTCACTAAAACTCGTCCCCTCATATATTAAAGTTGCAGTTAATGTCTGTACACATTCATTTTTTGAACAAAAGGAACATAAAAATAAGGAGGTTATGCAAGTTGAACTTCTTGCTGAAACACATACCATGACTGTACACATGCCCAAAGCTAACAGGGTGAAGTTGTGAATCTCTTGGGGACCGTGCGCCCGCTCAGTGTTAATACCCTGTACCTATTAGATGTGCCAGTGAACCTACCTGGGGGGCCAGGCAGCCCCCGAGGTCCTGGAGATCCAATACCCCTTTCACCTTTCTCTCCCGGCAAACCTAAAGAAGGACAAAAAAAAGCACAGGAGAACAATTATCTGGAAACGTAGTTTTCATCTTAACTGATAATACTTAATTCAAGTAATTCATTTCCTTAGTGAAAGCAGAACCTAATTTTTCACAGAAGTTCACGCTTTAAGCCAAATTCTTTCTAGACATTTGTGTAATTCCAGATTCGTGGCCAAGAAACAAATCTGGCTACAAGTCAAGGGAAAAAAATATTTGAAGGAAAAAAGCACGTTTAATATATTTTTATTAAATAGTAATTAAGAACAGAAATCTTGAATAAATAGTTATAACTCATGAAAAATATCTTAAAAGGTATTTTATCTTTAGTAGCCCTATTATTACAGCATCTAAACCATCACAATCATAGAAATAGCTTAAGTTTTCTCTAGATTATTACTACTCTTTTGACAAAAGTGGGTACCTAGAGTCCTGAAACATTTGGAATCACGTACTCCTATTTTTCTTTTCCTTCAACTGCAGTTATCTACTATGAAATTAAAGTAAAAACAAACAAACAAACAAAAATTACAAGTGCAGCGCCAGGCCCTCAATAAAGGAACCAAAATAATTTTGATCTAAAACTACAGGGCTACTTAAGTACATTCAGCTGCTGCTCAACTCTTGCCACAGTCGCAGCAAGTAATGAGATTTTGGTGCCTGATTTAGTTTGCCACCATATAGGTTTTCCAATGAATAGCAACAACAACCACCAAAAAAAAAAAAAAAAAAAAAAAAAAAAAAATAGCATTATCTCTACCAAGACCTCCTGGCAAAAGCATTGCTGTTTTCTAAGATACGGATCTTTATGGCCCACACGTTGCCTAAAGAGGGAGACAGGTTCACAGATTGATAGCTCTTCTGAGACTGTCCAGACATGACTAGTTCAAGCAGTTTGCCAAGTTCAGTCTTCCGGATGTTTTCCACCTGACCCAGCTCCTACGTTCGCAGGTTCCTTCCTTTATCCCTGTACAGCACCCAGAAATGCCCACCTCGTTCACCAGGCGGTCCCTGCATGCCTGGTGTGCCTGGGAAGCCTGGTCGCCCCCCAGGTCCTGGCTCTCCTCTGGTTCCCGCGCTGCCAGGGGGGCCTGGGGGACCAGGCGGGCCTGGCTGGTTCCGACTGGAGTGGTAATCGTTTGGAATCTGATTCAGCATCTGATTGAATCTGTTCATCTGACCTACAAATAGAAATAGGCTTGTTAGCAAAAATTCCGGTAAAGGAGGGATGAGAGAGTGAAACTGTTCTCTCTTAGTGTCTAGTGAAATCCATCCCCATTCCATCCCCCTCCAGGAAACATTCTAATTAGAATCCTAAATCCAGTGGCCCGGTACAGAATGGTTGCTGATAAACAGTTGTTTCCACAAAATGTTGACCTACAAGCCACAAGCATTACTTTGAATATTAAAAAGTTGTTAAACTTTAATGTGGCTCTGAAATAAAGTCTTGAGTTTTGCGGAATGATGTCAGTCAAAAAAGACCCTTTTTAAATTAAAAAATTATACCATTTTTGTGTGGGCCTAAGGCAATGATAATCAGGTTTTAGTGCAAACTGGAATTGCCTGTGGGGTACATTAAAAAATACAGATTTCTGGGCCTTATCTCCAAAGATAATGATTTGCTAGGGTCAGGACTCAGGCCAGGAACTCTCATTTCTAACAAGCAACACAAGTGGTTATAAGGCAGGTATTCCTCAAGACCATACTTTGAGAAACACTGATTAAGAGAGGGAGCCCTGGATTTAAGGCCCATTCTCAGTGTGCAGGCACTGAGCTTTCTTATTTAACAGACCTCATGGAATGGAAAGAAAGAGTCTGTGAAAAATAGGGAGGCAAGAAAAAGGTCCCCACCAAAACTGACTTTCTATGATCACATTAATCTTGGTAGGCCTCCTTCCTTAAGGTCATAGAATAATTTACAGGTTGCAACTTAAAGGATCCAGTGTCTTAGGACGTAAGAAGTTGGCTGCTTCCAGATATACCCTGATGAAGCTCATATTAAGATTTTTAATATGGAAACTGAAAAGCCCTTTTAAAGTACGATTTTGTGTCAGACTGAATATGAAGATAACAGGCTATTATTTTACCTTAGTGACAGTCTTTAAAATATCATTAGCTTTTTCTAATCAGATACAAAACTGACAATGTATGAAAACAAGAGGTCATCAAAAATGAAACAGAAACATCTCTCTTAGAAACTTTATAATTTAAACTCCACATTTTACTGCAATTAATTAAAAAACCATTCATACAATAAAAAGAAATTTTACCGCTTATTAATTGTTCACAGACTTGTCTTGCAACTGCTCGCATCATGTTCTGGGAAGCAATGTCTCCCTTGTTAATTAAATTAATGAGAATTATTAGCATGTTATTTCTATAGTTTTAGACTTTAATGCTTAACACACAAAATAAAGTTAAGATTTTTAAAAATACATACCCTATCACCTTTCTCTCCTTTTAAGCCAGATGGCCCCTGAAATATAGGAAATTCATACATTAGAAACTGAAAAATATGGTCTTCAATGATGACTATGTAATAAAATGATGACACGAAGATAAAAGAGGACAAGGTCTGCTTTCTAATAATTACCAAAATTGACATATCACATTTATATCCATGTTACATTTTGCTTTTCTGTAAAAAGAAATCTAAGTTCTCCCTCTCTCAAAGAAGCACATGTTCTCCAAAACAATGCACAGATGTGAATTTTATGGTCACAACTATAAAAGTTATGTACCATGCATACTTTTTTACAATGCTAGTCACCATATAGGCTTGGAAGTAAAATACATGTGAAGATTGCCCTTATGCCATCATACTTTGTTTTACATCATCGTGGTTGGTAAGCTCAGCTGGTTATTGTGGAATGTCCATGAGGTTAATCTTTGTTCAGTCTAACTAAGAACCAGTGGGCTTTTGTCAACTCCCTAGCCCACTATATATCTCTAACTTCTTACAGTGATTCTTTGTGCATTGGGTAGAAAAGGAACCAGTGTCTCCCTTATTAAATAACTCAGTCCAAATGGTCCCACATCCAAACACAACCACAGAATATTTGTCCCTATTCTGTCACAGGCCTCTCAGTAACCATGAGAGGTCTTGGAAAAAGTTTTCCTTAGACTACAACAAGTTTTTGTCTTTCGGTAATATATTTCCAGGCTACCAACTGCTGGCACAGAAGGAACTTCCAAACCATTGACAAATCTGATGTTCAGATAATATCCCACACCAAACCACATCTTACCATCCCCATGGAAACCACTGTAGTCCAAACCAAGACTCTTGCCTGAACTATCCCAGGGCCCTTCTAACTGGTCTCCCTGCTTCCTACTTTGCCCCTTTATATTGTCTATTGTCCAAACAAAAGCCAAAATGATATTTTTTTTTAAGGAAAATTAGATCATGTCACTCCTTTGGCTCCAAGAGCTTCTCATCACACTTAGAATAAATAAGAATTCCTTATCAGATGGTCCATATGCTCACCTCTGCCCAGCTATCTGACCTCACCTTGTATCCCTCTGCTCTTCACTCCCTTTGCTTGGGGTTCCTGGGCTTCATGGATGTTCCTTTCACAAGCTGGACTCATCCCTCAACCAGGGCCTCTGTTCATGCTCTTCTCTCTCCCTGGAGCCCTCTTTGCACAGATAAAACAGCGTGATCTCTCACTTCATCCCAATGTCACCTCCTCAGAGACAGTCCCTGGCTACTGTATCTAAAATAGCTGGCTTCCCACCATCACAGTCATTCTCTGACCCCTTACTGTTTCTTGTTTCTTCACAGCACTCATCATCACTGGAAACTACACCATTTATTTATATAGTTTTCATCTATATCTCACTCTAGAATCTCTACGAAGGCAAAGACTTAGTCTTGTTTACTGTTGCATCCCTGGCCCTAGAACACTGGCTAGCACCTCATAGGCACTAAACAAATATGTGTTGATTAAATTAATGAAATATTCCACAAGCAGCTCCTGGAAACATACACTATATAGCACATCAGGTATTACAAGTTAGCGAGAAAATAACAACTGGTTTTAATAGCTAATGACATAAGCTAACAGTGATTAAGCCAAGCTCTCTGCTAAGACTTATATACACCCATCTGCTATTTTTGATTTCAGAAACTAGAGGAAGATATGATAAAATAAAGAAGAAAAGGAAAGGAAATTTGCCATCTTAAAAGAATGAGGAAGATGAACAGGAAAAAGGGAAGAGTTGAGGTCCAAATAAATGTATACCAAACTATAATTATCATAAGAAATACTGGAGCAAAAGTATTAGGTTTTAGTGGAAACACTAATATTATTGTATTTGGAGCATTTTGCAAATGCAGGGATTTTTTTTTTTTATTTACTGCTATTTTGAGATTGTTCTGATGTGTTCTTTTAATTTACTGCCACTCTGAGATTGTCCTATTGTGCATGACTTGTAGAAGTCATCCTTATTGCCAATATTTAAAGATGATATTTCAGGCCGGGCGCGGTGGCTCACGCCTGTAATCCTAGCACTCTGGGAGGCCGAGGCAGGTGGATCGCTCAAGCTCAGGAGTGTGAGACCAGCCTGAGCAAGAGCGAGACCCCGTCTCTACTAAAAAATAGAAAGAAATGATCTGGACAACTAAAAA